TCTTTTTCAAATATATATGACAAATAGATTTAAGCCTGAATTTTTTATATAGTATCATTTATGAAATTGAGAAAGTCATGGTATTGTGCTAATAATCTTACTTTACAGAATCTTTGAGGGCTAGAAAACATTTTAAAAATCAGCAAATTCTCATTTTTTGCTGCATGTTGTAAAAAACAGATAACATTTTTTTGAGTGCTACCTAACCAACTACATTGTAGACAATATTCTACTGGACGAGATACTAAATGTGTGGGTGTTCATTTGTTTGTTTGTTTTTTGAATGTTAGAAATACCCTTTGAGGGAAAAATTATCTTAGCAATGACTGGAAGTACTATTTTGAATATATCTTATTTATAAGAATTCTAAACCAGCAGTATCATACATTCTACTTTGTAAGCATAATCAGATCTGCTATTTTTAGCCTTCTCGTTCTTCTCTCTCTCTCTCTTTTTTACATCCACTACCATGAATAATGACATCTGACCTTAATCTTTTAGTCACTGGCTTCACCCTATAATTTGGTATTGGATGCAGATCATAAAGATTAAGAAGGTCACTACAACGTTGCTAAGCATTTCTCTGACTTCTACTGTCACTCCTTCCCATTCACACGAAAGGTGACTGTCTTCTGTATGACGAGACCAGAGAAACCAGGCTCCTTAGTACTCACCACATGGATTAAGATGAAATCTCATAGATTAACACGGACAAGCACAATATACTGGTTACCATTCTGCTAACCAGTGACCGCAACGTATTTTTGCCATTGATTGTTTTTGGGGATAGAGTCTCACTATGTAGAGCAAGTCTAGCCTCCTTAGTGTATAGCACCACATCTGACAGCACACAATGTATTTTAACAGAGTTTAGAGGTAAAAGATGCTTACTAGATCTCAATTTGATGCTGAAAATTTTGTGACTTTTTTCCAAAACAGTTCTGCCAAGTTGGCATCATCCTTGAAACTGAAATTCCGACTAAGATATAAAATGACTCGTTTACAAGGAATGCCTGTGTGTTCATCTGATTCTCAAGCCTGAGCTCTTCATCACCGCCGTCTGCCAGTAAAAGCCATCGTATTTCAGGTGACGTTTAGTCATCTCAGGCAGCACACCAGTGTCTGCTAGCCACATGGAGAGACCCTTAATAACTAGGGTGGGGGCGGTGTGCATGGGTATTCAAGCAATGGGCTGACTTGGAGATGTGGAGACCACCTGACCCGGAATCCCTTTATCAATATCATGCAGTTTTATACCTACAGACTAACTTCAACACAGGAGAACTCTACATACATATTTGAATTCATCAGGGACCCTTAAAAATCTTTGCAGTACCACAAATCACTTAGCTGTTGGTGACATTTCCATCCTGAAACAGCTGGGTGTGTTTATAGCTTGTGAGTGATATGCCCCAGTTACCCTCTGGGATTCTTACATTACCAGATGAAAAATGTGTACCTTTTTGACAATCAGGTACACAGAAAGCAATAAAAAGCCTTTTATATCCATTAATTCTTTCTTAATTCAATCTGTGCCCACTCCATTTACAAAATGCCTCAGGCTATGCACTGGATACTCAGTTGCACACTGAAAAGGAGCGAAACTAAATTCCCCTGGGTGGAGCTGCACCCTTTTAATCAGAAACCTTAAGATGGAACCTGAACCAGGATAGTGTTCCTGCATACCAGTGGGGTTCAGATTTTACAACAAGGGACACCTAACAGTCCAGGGTGGGGGGGGCACTTATCGTTTCCAGTGCTCCTCAAAGGTCCTATTATGTTTTGCCCAATGACCATGCCCATCTGACAACGGTCTGTTGCTGCTGTGTATTGGTGACTTCGGTGTGGAGAAATCATTTGATGGAAAGGAACAAGCATGGCTTTACCAGTGGATGCTCAGCGTCTTTGCTTTCAGAAGTTGGTGCTCCAACCAGTTGGGTTTTTGCCGCTCAATGCTCAGTATGACCTTCTGGGTCAGTTGACAAGGGCTGCTTCTCTCTCCCAGAATGCTTTCCAAACACACACAGATGAAGGCCGCTTTCTCTTGACTCCATCTGTCAAGGGAGGCACCTGTTAAATGTTCCACGGTGTTCCCATCCTCAAATATCCGACATATAATTACAATCAAGTTCCAGACAAGCAGGCCAGCTTTCTTCAATTCAGCCAAATTTTTTGACATTTTTCTCTCAGACAGAAAAAAGAAGTATTTAATTGTGGGAGGCAAGCATGCAATCACCGTAGGTAACTTGCTGATTACAATAGATACTGCCTGAGCAGCAAGCCTCGTGAAGCCTGGGAAGAAAAGGTAGAAAAGGTATGATTACTGTTAGCATTCTCATGCCATCACATCATGGCTTTCTCTGTGTGGGGATGTCTGCCTTTTGTGGAGAAAATTATTAAGATGAACAAGTGCTTAATGCTTTCCCACAGAACTCCAGCAGGAACTCCTGCACTATTACCTGAGAGTCTCCAAATTTCAAGCATGATTTTTCCTTCATAAATGAAAATTCAAAATTTAGAATTATAATTTGTATGTTTATTGTTTAAGATCAAATCTTTGAAGTACAGAGACACGTAACTAAGCAAAGGTCCCTATGACCTTTGACACCATGCACCCTTTAAATGCTTTCTTCTTGTCTCTTCTGGTCTGTGACACAGCATCCCAGCTCTTCTCTGACTGACTGGCTCATCTTCCATTCTTTTTTTTTTTTTTTTTTTTTTTTTGGTTTTTCGAGACAGGGTTTCTCTGCGTAGCTTTGCGCCTTTCCTGGAGCTCACTTGGTAGCCCAGGCTGGCCTCGAACTCACAGAGATCCGCCTGGCTCTGCCTCCCGAGTGCTGGGATTAAAGGCGTGCGCCACCACCGCCCGGCCTCATCTTCCATTCTTACCTTGGAGGGCCTCGGTAGCCATCCCACCCGAAGCGGCTCACTGCGCCCACCCCATCTCAAGCCCGAGTCTCTCTCTCATGGAAACTACTCTGTGGTCTTTGCTGCCGTGCCCACCGCCATCTAAAACGATCTCATGCACCGACTTAGCATCTGTCACCATTCCTAGAATGAGAGCTCCCTGCCACCTGTGAGCCAGACCGGTTCAATGACGACTAACTGAATACTTGAGTTAACTGGTTCGTGTTTCTCTCTCCTCTTTGCTTGTTTGTGTTTCATGCTAGCTCCGTGTTCTCCTAGCACTTCCCGAATGTGGTGCTTGCTTAGCGGTCATTGGCCTTTGGTCTGACGAATCTACACGACACCATTTGCGTCATGCCATTTCTTTGAAGGATGTACTGATGCTCTATCTCTAAAGCAGAGTTTCTCGATTTCCCACCATGGACATCTGAGGACTGTCTAATTCTCTGTTGTGTGAAACTGTTCTATGCACGGCAGCATTTCCGGAGCATTTACGTTTCCACTAACTGAACGCCAGGAGCGTCCCACCTCAGGTGTGTCTCTGTTCCTGGGAGCATTTACGTTTACACTAACTGAACGCCAGGAGCGTCCCACCTCAGGTGTGTCTCTGTTCCTGGGAGCATTTACGTTTCCACTAACTGAATGCCAGGAGCACCCCACCCCAGGTGTATCTCTGTTCCCTGGGAGCACATTCGTCTCTAGCTAAAAACTCCTCTTTACTCAATTTTATGCTATCAGATTTTCTTTCATTTTGAGATGGGGTGTCATGGATCCCAGGTTGGATGAAAACTCTTTATCTAGCCAAGGGTGAAATCAAACTTTGGATCTTTCTGCTAGCATTCTCTTCAAGCCTGCTTTTATGAGGTGCTGGGGATCAAATCCAGGCTTAGTGCATGCTAAGCAAGCACTCTTGAGCTGGATCCACAGCCTGAAACTCACTCCTTTAGATGACTCCAGAACTGGCAGTCTTGGCCTTTCCTGCAGGGTTGCAATGCCACAGACAAACTTTCTGCTGGCATCCTGCTTCTCTGCGTCTCTGTTTTTCATCCCTTAACTCAATGCAACCATGTGGAGTACCATCCTTCTACCCGCGCGCCTCTCGGGCTTCGCTCCCTCTTTACCCCTTCCCTTTGAAATGTCTTCCTGATCCTTCATGTCTAACTGAGGATCGCTAGTGAGGAATTTTCCCACCTCCTCAGCTCTGATATCCTGTTTCCTGCTAAGACTAACCTAGGGTGCTGGCTCAGTTCAAGCCCCTTCTTATTCATGGTACCCCAATAATGACAACATAAACACCTTCTGACAAGCCATTTTGTATTCTTAAATTATTTTAAATGTCTTATTCTTTATGTGTTTGAGTATTACTCTTCTATTTTCAGGGAGTTTACTTAGAAGATTTTAATATATGGGCTGGAGAGCTGGCTCAGTTGTTAAGAGCACTTGTTGCTTTTGCAAAGGACCCAGGCTTACTTCATTGCACCCACATCGAGGCTCACAAACACCTGCAACTCCAGTTTCAGGGGATCTAATGCCTTCTTCCACTCTTCATGCATACCAATCATGCAGGTGGTACACATAAATACATGCAGGCAAACACTTAATACTTAAAATAAAAGATTTTATTGCCAGGCAATGGTGATGCACACCTTTATTCCCAGCACTCAGGAGGCAGAGGAGGCAGATCTCTGTGAGTTTGGGGCCAGCCTGGTTTATGGAGTGAGTTCCAGGGTATCCAGGACTATGCAGAGAAACCCTGTCTCAAACCCCCACCACCACCACACACACACAGAGGGGGGGGGGTTGTTAAAGGATTTTATTTTATATTCCCTACATCCTAAAGGGAGCTTAAATACAATCCCAAACAAACAATTCCAACTTTGCACCTGAATGTGTACTGAAATTTCTAACTGTAAAGACCCAGGAACTCAAATCCTTAACTAATTCATTAAAGCTTAAGGCAAATTCCAATCAGGAGCTTCAAGTCCATTCTAACATGAAGGCGCTGAGTCAATGGGGCATCAACAGCACACAGAGAAGGGCTAGTAACAACCACAACTCATTCAACTGTCTCTAAATGAGTAGACATCCATTCAAATGTTCATAATCCCATTCAGATATGAAAGACTATGGGCTAGCTAACTACAATATGGTAGCCAGATTTATGTTTATCATTTCTTTCTTTCTACATAGCTGGTACTATCATGGCATATTTGAGTACAAAAAAATGTAAAATGGTTATTTAACAATAAAGGAAAGAAAGGCAAATAAATATTTTTATATTAGTTTTTAGTACTTTATTTAATTATAACTATCAAATATCAGTAACTTATTGACGTTAACATGTGACTTAGTGTGTCTTATTGTTTTTAAAATGTCAGCTTAATACTGCATGGTACAAACATCTGGTTCTCAGTTCACTTAGTTTTATTGGCTGCTTTAGCTTTTTTTTTTTTAAGGCATTATAAGAACACAGGTAAGACCTATGCAGTACACCTGTAGAATGAGCTGTGTTCTCAAAATTAAGACTTTTTCCTTTTAGTCTTAACCACAGGGCAGACAAATCTGTTGTTGCAACTTGTCAATAAATACCCAACACCCATGTGCTCAATTCATTGTCCTTGCAAACTAACAGGAAAACATTGCATTTTCATATTTGCAAGATAAAGACCCAATGATCACTGAGACACTTTATTTGGTATACTTTTAAGTAGGTTAGAAAATATGTATCTTAAGTATGAAAGTACACAGATATGTTTTATTGGTAATATTGGTTTTATAAAACTCGTATTTCTAGTTTTTTGAAAATAAATTATAATAATAGCTTTTCATCACACCTCATGTATTTTTGCCACCAGAATCCTTTTTAAGAATCTCCCCATGGCCAGTGGCCTGGATGAATGTTCCTTCTGGTGTTATCTGTTTGCTTGCTCCAGAATTCATTGTTTCAGTTGAAGCCAATGCTCCAACCAAAAATTTTCCCATAAAACATTCTTTTCATTAAAAATCTTATACCACTGATAAAACATCTCAAATATATTTTACTTAACTGCTGTCAAAGAAATAAAACAAAATCAAACTAATGCCCTTAAACTCATTTGCTCTTAAATACAACGGAATATGAAAAAGCTGAGCTATGTGTGAGAACCATATGCGTTTTCAGTCTCACGCCCTGTGTAATAGTTTGTGGTGTTCATTTTTTCTAAATCATCTATTTTCTCTATATTACAGGACTTGCTGATGGAGAAAAGGTAGGAAACGCACTTTAGTTGGTCTCTGCAGTGGTTCTGTGTTCTACCATGTGCATGCACACTAAGGACAGATGTTCTCATAGGTTCTATTTATCTTTGAATAAGTTAGAATTCTGTGTTTAAAAACGCATCTGTAAGCATTTGTCATTGTTCAGACAAAGTTATAAAGAATATGATCATATCCCACTAGATTTCAACACTGGGGGGTTAACAGAGTTTGTTGTCATGTGTTACATGCTTAGTTTTGAAATCTTTTGCTAATCAAGACAATTTAATGCTGAAAGCTAATAAACCATGGCACAAAGCTCAGAAGGAATTCACTTTCAATAAAAATACATGGGAGCTCATATATCAGGTGATTTTCCCACACTTTTTCTTTCTAAATCTGATCAAATTATTATTTCACTTTATGACAGGACAGAGAAAGTGTTCACATTTGCATGGAAATACATGATAGCATTCCCACCTTAGTACCGTGTATTCTGTGCTGTATCCCCAGCACAGCAACATGATCATGTTAGGGTCACTTGGATCTTTTGAGAGAATCAGTTTTGTTAACAGCAGCTTTGACAATACGGCATTGATCTATGCAGGAAGCTAAAGAAGGAATCAGGTCTTCTCCTTCAGAGAGAACTTTATAAAAGTTTAACTTGTTCCTTCCCATAACTGGGTATGTTCTGGGAGTCTGCACCCATCCTAGTATAATGGATGATAGAGGACAAGTATAGTATGTCTGTGGTCTTAAACACATAAATGTCCACTGAGTCAACGGATGACTGAGTGCCCAACATGTAAATATCATCTGGTTGTAGAAGTGTCCTTATCTAAGGAGGATGCATTTCAAGAATTCGTGTGAATGTCTAAAAATGTAGAGAGTACCAAACCCACATATCCAGTTTTTTTCTTATTCATACATATCTGTAAAAAAAAACTTAATGTATAAATTAACAACAATAATAGATTAACAATAAATTAAAAAGCAGAATAATTTTAAGAAGATATTATAAAAAAATTATGTGAATGTAGATTCTCTCTCTTGAAATAACCAAAGTAAATACTAATTATTTTTGAACTGAAGTTGAGTGAGGGCAATAAAAACCAGAAAAAGCAAAATTATAATACAGAGTGAAAAAAAAGGGGAGAAGAAGTACTGAATGGTGGTCCCAAAAGTGTTTCAGAACACAGAACAGGAGTAAGATTATCTGTTGTCATTCACACTTAGAAGGCACAAGATGGCCTGTAGCTTCACCTCCTCCCATCACTTATTTCATATGACTGACACCTCTTTATGACTGTCTGTATACTGTAACACTACACCAACTTATAATATTATGAAAAACACTAATTAGTAAGGAAGACCCAACAACTGGTATATACAAAGTGGGCATTCTTAGGTTAGAAGCCCTTTCAAATGGTATGGAGAAATTCCAACAAGCTTCTTAGAAAAGAAAATATGTTAATAGAACAACTGAACAAGCAGCGCTCATCAAGTGGTTCAGCCTGCTAGTGATACCATGCTGCCTGGACCCCCGAGAGTGAAGGGAACATCCAAAAGCCAGAAGGAAGAAGACCTGCTAACAATGGAGACAACCCAGTGAAAAGGGACATTTTCCAGCTTCAGTTAAGTACCTCTACTGCAGCCGAAGGCAGTTTGATAGGACATCCCTAGGAAGGCCATTCATAGACAACTGCCTTGCGTTTGTAATAGAAGTCTCTGGATAAGTGCTACTCTATATGGATCTCCATAAGAAAGAATGATGCCCCAACTCACTTCTGTGGCTTCCAGTTGGAATGTTTTATTGTGGAAAGTTTTTCCTTGGCATTGAAAAATATTCTTCTTTAAATATGAACAGAAGAGACATTTTATTTTAGGAAAGAGAAGATTCACACAGATAAGTAATATGATATGAGAATGTAGAGATAAATGATGACACACGCACACTTGGTGAAGGAAAACTCAGAACAAGACCAATAGATTCAGTCCAGAGCCACAGGTCCAGGGAAGAGAGACATCCTATCAGAGAATTATTTACAGCTACCAAACTAGGTGCTATTTGACACCTAAAAGCTACATCTGAAGGTGTGTGAAGGGAAAAGAAAGCGAAATATGGTCGTAGGGTAAAGAAAAAGAAAACAAAACAGATAAACTATATAAGAGTGATTGTGAGGGCACACAGATCATTATCTAGATTTAAAGTAAGGAAAGGTCATCTGACTTCTGTGACTACTAATGCAAATCCAAAAGATTAAAATTCTGAAGTAACGATACAACCAAGGAGAAGTGGGAGAGGTCTTCCCCAGGGAAGGGCATGCCAATTGCTTGTCCAATGTCAATGGTCAATCCTGAAAACATACACACAGGTAGCATTCTACAGACTGAACAGGTTATATTTAGGAATCTATATGTATATGAATATGCTTACACATGCAATAACAATTAATAAAGGAAAAAAGAGGCCGTAAATTTGAAGGATAGTGGGGAAGGACAGAGGGGGGAGTTTGGGGAGAGGAAAGAGAAGAGCTCTAGAGATGTGTTAATCAAATTATAATCCCAAAAACAAAAACAAAGAAACAAAACAAATTTCAAAAAATTATGAAGTACTAATAAAATAAAATGAGCATTTGAGTTATTTTCATTCCTAGCTGCATTGTCTGTGTGGCTCATAGCAAAAAGAGAATGAAGCCCCCTATATATTTGTTGAAATGAAAATTAATTGCCATTCATTGGTCTTATAATTTTTAGAATTTTATTTAACTGAGTAGCCTAAGAGATTGTTTCTTTAGGAGACACTTTCTTAGAGAACTAATGTGCTCACCTTTATTTGATTCTTTCCTTCTGAATTCTCTTGGAATATAATTCCATTCTTGTGGAATGCTCTGAAGCAGATGATCAGGAACACGGGGCTTGTTTAGGTCGGCCTCACTGTTTCTCCCGCATCTCATCATGGATACGACCTGCTGCACAATGTCCTTGACAGCGTCCATCAGTGCCAGTCTCAGACAGCGGATGACTTCTGGCTGGGACTCCGTGTACACTGAGACTTTAAAATCAAGGAGCATATTATGGTTAGCAGAGCCTGGTCACCAGCTGTGCCTTGTTCATCTGAGAAAACTGTTTCACAGTTACCTGGTTTAAATCTATAGAAGATGAGAGATCAATCTAATTAGAACATCATATAATTGCGAATCAGCTCATAAACCATTTGAAATAGAAGTCTCCCCTACCTGGTAATGAAAGAACATCAATTAAGACAGACTATGGTAAGTGGTGGGAATGACTGCTGGCTTTGGCCTCTGTGGTGGAATAGTAATTGTATAACCTTTTTGGAGAACCACTTCTCAATAATACTGACATCCCTAAGCTGCTGGTGTAGCTTTGCTGTCGAGTGCTTGCACCCAAAGGCCCTGGGCTTCCCACCCTACAGCCCAGCACTGGAGAAGAGTCACCATGCCCAACATCAACAAAACTTTATTTAACATTTTACTTAAATATTGACTCACTCTTTTCTGTGAAACTAAATCCTAAGAAACTGAGACTCTGTAAAGAACCTAAAGTAACAAGAGAAACCATCTCAATGTCCAATGAGCTCTCATATTCCTCTTCACAATAACGCCTGATAGTACACAGCTAAAAAACAAATGCAAGTTAGAAAAGAGCAAGGTGCACCTTTTTTATTTAAAAAGGCCCATGTGTGCACACATAATCTATTAAGAAGATGTGCTGTCTAAAGGCAATGGTGGCTATCGATGACGGGATCTCAAGTAATGCTTCTTCCCCTTTTTTCTCTTTTTACTTTCTCTTCTCCTTTCCACCCTATAGCCTGCCTTTCTGTCTTCCTTTTTAATTATCTGTAATTTCCCACCATGAGTATACAGGATTTAGATAATAAATGTGATAAAATATCTGGTTTGCTTCTTTGTTTTTTAGTATGACTACAATATGAAGGCTGTTATTTAAATCAATAAGGAAAAATATCTGTGCTCCTTTTTCCGTGGAATTCCTAAAAAACATTTCTCAAATGACTAGCACGTTTAATAATGGCTTATTGTTAAGCCACCATGGTAAGAAAGATCTGGCGATAGCAAAACTGATAGTTTAATTTGTAACATAATATTACCTCAGGTAGTCAAAATGTTGTTATTTATAGAAATGGTTGAGGGTAAAACTACATGTGTTTTGTTTATTCATTTGCTTATTTTTGTTTCAAAACTCAAATTAACTGGAAGACATAGGGAAACTATTTTCCCATATCAATAACTAATAAATACTTTGGTTATATCTATGGGCAAATAGAGGTTATCTGAAAATTCTAGGAAGTCCTTTATTTAGTTTTATTTAAAAGATGTTTTCTTTTTTGTAAGTAAAGGTGTCGTGTGTGGAAAATGACAGAGAAAACAGCTCTCTAATAATTATTCAAAAATAAATTAATTTATGTAACACATCTGAAATAGTGGTTGAATGCTGTATAAGCATTAGCTGGCATTACTAATACCTAGGAGGGATTTTTAAAGCTGCAATGTCAGCTTCAGAACGCGGTTGCCAGTGCTCACTAGGAGACTCTGAGACATCTTGCTACAAACAGGCTTAAGCAATCTCCGCCACCCTCACTCGCTGCCTCTCCTGTCATTGTTCAGACCCCTCCCCCTCCAGCCGCTCTTTCTCAGATCCAATAAACAGAAGCCAGACATCAGGTAATGGCTCTCAGAATATCAACCTGACTTGATCACCTCTTCCTGTCAACAAAGCCTTAGTTTTTAACATTGTAAACAAGGACAGGTATGCCCCATCAAGTGCCACCTGACATTATAGCACATGGAAGACTGAGGCAGGAAGACTGTGGTGAAGTTGAAGAACCCCGGTTTTTTACACAGAATTTTCTAGACCAGCCTGGGCTACAGAGACAGAACTTGTCTCAAAAAGGGACTGGTGACAAGATGGTTCAGTGGGTAAAGGTACATGCTGTCAGTCCCTGGAACCAACATGACAGAAGGAGAGACTATTCTCCTCTGACCTCCACACGAGTCACACACACACACACACACACACACACACACACACACACACACTCAATAAATAAAATGTCAAACAAAGAAAAGTAGGTACTTAAACTTCTAAGAGACATATTGTAGAGAAAATACATAATCATCCCAACTCCAGCTGCTACAGGCCCATGTATTAATTCTGTCTGATTGACATAAGAGAGGAAAGCAAGAAAAAGTATCATTCAATTATAATTTCTAATTTTATTTTTCTGTCATAAATAATGTTAAATTTAATATTAAATTAACTGAAACAAAAGCAAAGAAACATAAAACTTGGGTTGCATCCTATAATTTTTTTTTTTTTTTTGGTTTTTCGAGACAGGGTTTCTCTGTGTAGCTTTGCGCCTTTCCTGGAACTCACTTTGGAGACCAGGCTGGCCTCGAACTCACAGAGATCCGCCTGGCTCTGCCTCCCGAGTGCTGGGATTAAAGGCGTGCGCCACCACCGCCCGGCTTGCATCCTATAATTTAAAGAATTTATCATCATCTAATTTTATATTACTTCAAATCTATAGTAACATATGAAAATTATTTAATACAGGAGCAGTTTCTGTTCATATTTACAAACACTGAGAGAAAAGTAGACCAGAAGATATTTATAGTCTTCCTTTTTATGACTTTATTAAGTCTTTGAAGAAGAAAATAGCAAATATTTCTCAGGCAAGTTCATAAACAATCAACAAAACTGTAGCCCCATTGCTATCCTTCTAGCTTAACACACAGGAGGTCTTCGAAGGAAGCTGAATGATGGCTGTAAGTCAGGTGAGCTTCAGGCCCACAGAAGAGCTTGGCTCCAAGAGGCATAAAAACCAGAGTTTAGGTGCAATGGTATTTGGGTTAAGATGATAAATGCTTTTCAATATTTATAGGAATAATCTTTAAAATGTTCAGAGATGGTAGAGCATACAAAACAAAAGAAACTTTATTACTTAAGTTTTCTTCTATAATTTCAGGCCTGAAGAGATGGCTTAGTAGTTAAGAGCACTGACTGCTCTTCCAGAGGACCTGGGTTCAATTCCCACCATCTACTTGTCAGCTCAGACCTGTCTGTAACTCCAGTTTCAGGGGACCTGGCAACCATGGCCAAACACCAATGCACTTAAAAGTAAAATATCACGAAAAATGCCACCATGAACATAGTTGAGCGTGTGTCCTTGTTGTGTGATTGAGCATTCCTTGGGTATATGCCCAAGAGTGGTATAGCTGGGTCTTGAGGTAGATCAATTCCCAATTTTCTGAGAAACCACCATACTGATTTCCAAAGTGGCTGTACCAGTTTGCACTCCCACCAACAGTGGAGGAGTGTTCCCCTTGCTCCACATCCTCTCCAGCATAAGTTGTCTGCAGTGCTTTTGATCTTAGCCATTCTGACAGGTGTAAGATAGTATCTCAGAGTTGTTTTGATTTGCATCTCCCTGATAATTAAGGATGCTGAGCAATTCCTTAAATGTCTTTTGGCCATTTGAAATTCTTCCTTTGAGAATTCTCTGTTTAGCTCTAAAGCCCATTTTTTAAAATTGGATTGTTTGTTATTTTGATATCTAGTTTCTTGAGTTCTTTATATATTTTGGAAACCAGCCCTCTGTCAGATGTGAGGTTGGTGAAAATCTTTTCCCATTCTGTAGACTGTCCTGCCATTTTGTCTTATATGTCCAAGGAATACTCAATCATACCACAAGGACACATATTCAACTATGTTCATAGCAGCATTATTCATAATAGCCAGAACCTGGAAACAACCTAGATGCCCTTCAACTGAAGAATGGATTAAGAAAATGTGGTACATATACACAATGATGTTTGTGTATATGTACCACATTTTCTTAGCAGAGAAAAACAATGGCATCATGAAATTTGCAGGCAAATGGATGGAACTAGAAAATATCCTGAGTGAAGTAACCCAGACTCAGAAGGACAAACATGGTATGTTCCCACTCATAAGTGGATACTAGATATAAAGCAAAGGGTAATCAGGCAACAACCCACAACACCAGAGAAGCTAACTAACATGGAAGACCCAAAAGGGGATGCATGGACTGCCCTGAAAAGTGGAAATAGTTGAGATCTCCATGAGTAAACTGGGGGTGCAGGGTGGGCAATGGAGGGTAGGGGTTAGGGAATGAAAACATAAGGGAATGGGATGTTTGAGCTGGAATAGGGAGGGAGAAGGAAAGCAATGAAAGAGATACCATGATAGAGAGAGATGTCATGAGGATAAAGAGAAACCCGGTGCTAGGGAAGTTGCCAGGAATCCCCAAGAATGACCCCAGCCTGGACTACTAGCAATAGTGGAGAAGGTATCTGAACTGAACTGGCTTTCCCCAGAGATCAGACTAGTGAATACCCTAACTGTCATCACAGAGCTTTTCTCCAATGACTGATGGAGGCAGATGCAGAGATCCACAGCCAATCACCAGACAGAGCTCCAGGAGTCCAGTCAGAGAGAGAAGACAGATTCTATGAGCAAGTGCAGCAGGATCATGATGGGGAAACAGGCAGGGATGACCAAACCAAACTAGAGGGAACTCATGAAAGTTGGATCAAAGGCTGTGGAGCCTGCATGGGACTGGATTAGGCAGGCCCTCTGCATGGTGAGACAGCTTGATCTGCTTGGGAGGCCCCCTGGTGGTAGGATCAGAATCCATCTCTGTTGCATGAGCAGGCTTTTTGGAGCCCACTGCCTATGATGGGACACCTTGTGCAGCCTTGAGGCAGGGGGAAGGGCTTGGACTTGCCTCTACTGGATGTGCCTCCCCATGGGAGGCCTTGCTTTCTTGTGGATGGGAGTAGAGGATGGATTGGGAGAGGGAGGCTGGGGGGGAATGGGAGGAGGGATCTTTGATTGGTGTGTAAAATTAATGAAAAAAAATTTCTTAATAAAAATCTTTAATTTTTTTCTATAATTTGAAAGAATAAGAACAAAAGTAATTAAGAGGTTTTTGTGCTACCTTCAAGAAACATGTTCTGTATAATCAAGAACAACCTAATTCAGCTTTAT